AGTTCCCTGCAGAGAAGGTAAGCTGGTTGAAATCATTGGAGTTGGATGACTTAAAAGTTTCTGAATTCATTCTTCACTCCCTTCAGGCATATCTGGCTTCAGTGTTTTTTGAATGCCCACTCATTACCAGGCCCAGGAATGGTGTCCGAGAGCTTCAAATGGGTTGTGTGGTTCCAAGGAGGCCCCGCCTTGTAAGGACGTGGGAGCATGGCTGAAGAGGTGGGCTCGAAGGCGGGGAGCTGCCTTCACAGCTTGTTGGCTGAGGGGAGGACCCTACTTCTGCCCCACCCTGTTTCCCGAGCTCAGGGCTGAGAGGTGCAGTGTCCTGAGGTTACCACCAGGGGTCAGGCGCACCTGCTCTGTTCACCAGCGTCTGTCTCATCTCTTGGCTATCTTATTCTCTGAGGAATCTTCCTTGGTCCCTTGCCCTTTCTCTCTCACTTCTCTCGGCCTACCACTCCCTCCTTTAGGTCATCCCATCCAGCCATCAATGCAGGACCAGGCAGGCTCCCAACTCGACAGCCTGACGTTTCTTCTGACACTTGGAGAGTCCCACAGCCCTTCTCACTTCCCCAGCTTCATGAGTGACGGACTGGTGAGCAGAAAGTGTCTTCTACTGTCTCACTGTTTCCCCTCCTGCTGCCGTTCAGCTCACGTTCTCTGGTTTTGTTTCCAGGCAAAACAGGAGTGTTTATAGGTTCCCTCCTTCTAACAGGTTTTCTTATGTGTGTCCACAAAGCACTTCTCTAAACCCAAGTTCTTTTGTGACCCCCCATAACCCAGTGCCAAGAGCCCCTCCCCACCTCACTCCAGGACAGCACCCACATCCAGGAGCCTTGATCCCTGTGGACCTGATCTCCTCCTCCTTTTGCTGTCTGCTACACCTCAGACCCTGCTCCCTCAGGTCCCACCTTTCATTTACCCTCCGTGCTCCCACCTTGTTCCCCACGAGTGAGTCTTACAGCTTTGGAGGTTCAATTCCTCGAAATGATTCCTTACCACCTTGACCCTGTCCTCACACTCCTTCCTCGAGGAAGACTTCCCTCTCCCCAGTCTAGGCTCTAGAGACAGACAGATCTGAGAGAATGCTGGCTGAAGCAGGTACCAGCTGTGCTACCTTATCCTCTCTGATCCTCAGTTTCTTCATCTGTAGAATGGGCTGTCAGATATGCTGTGAGGCCTAAGTGAGGTGATGGATGTGGACGTCTTAGCACAGTGCTGGTACCTAGGGGATGCTCTGGGAGCCAGTCTCCTGTCCTTTCCTTCAGGACAGCTGCCATCCCCACTGTCCCCCAACTCCAGCCTGCTGTCAGGAACCTGCCTTTGTCTCTGTGCACTGGCTGCTTCCGCTTCCCCCACCGCCCATGGGCAGAGCTCTGGCCTGGGCAGAGGGGGACGAACCAGGGGACTCAGGGCCATGCAGCCACCATGATTGGGGGGATGGGGCAGATGCAGGGCTCTGCGGGGACCTCATATCTGAACTCCATCTGCAGGGCTGTGTCCTCAGTCTACCATGCATGAGACCTGGGGTGGCGTCCACTCTCCTCCTTCCTGTAATTACTAGGGGCCCCTTATGGCCTGGGGAGGGGGAAGGGCTCCCACAGAGTCCCCTGAGGCTTTGAGAGAACCAGAACGCTGGTGGGAGGGGAGGCAGGGCAGGGGGGATACCGACCACACAATATTCCAAGTCCCTGCTCCTTTCCCATCCACCCCCACCCCTCCACCAAACACGATCCCTGGGTTAATTTTTAGCATCACAGCTCTCACATTAGTCACTCCCTGTCACCCCACCTACACGGCAGGAGGCTGCTGTGCTGGTGCCGTCATTCCGTCAGCTGAGAGGTGGGATCCAGCCCCACCCTGGGCACCCCCTCACTCTCCTCGGGGCGCATACGGCCAGCCAGGAGCCCCCCTTCAGCCTGGGTAAGCGGTGCTGACATCGCTGCCAACACTAGGTGCTTGGTGGGGGAGGGGAGGGACAGGCTGGTAAGGGAGGGGCTGGGAATCTATTCTAGGAGAAGAAAGCCAGGGAGGCCCTGGCAGCCCCCCACCCCCAGGAAGGTGCTAGGCTATGCCCGGGCAGCTGGTCTCCTGGCAGCCGGGGGCTCTGGGAACAAAGGTGCGAGAGGGCCCCTCCCCTAGACCTGAGCCCCTGGGAGCTGCTGTTTGTCATCACTGCAGAGCAGCTGTTCAAACAGGGAGCTTGGGGAAGCTCCGTTTTCTTAATCAAATGTCCTCCCTCCCCAGGACCAGGGAGAGCAGGGCAGCCAGGTGCGTGTGCCCTGGCTGGAGCCGACAGCCAGCCCCGAAGGGATTTGGTGAGAAGGACCCACAGATGCCAGCTACAGATGGCGCAGGGCAGGGGCCTCCCCACCCCACCCTCCAGGGCTGAGAGGTGGGTAGGTCGTGGTCACCCCTGTGCAGGGCTGGCCCCAAGGAGGCATTCCCATATATTGAGCACCTGCCACGCGCTAGGTTGTGTTAGTCCCTGGAGCGGTGTTAGTAACACAGCTGAGTTTCCTGCCTTAGAAAGGCGAAAGGCAGATACAAAAGAAGTCAGTAAAATTACCAATTGAGAGTAAGTGCTATAAGGAAAGAAAAATAGAGGGCTCAAGGTAAAGCATAATGGGGACAGGGAACTTCTGATCAGATCAGGAACATCTCTTTAAGGAGGTGATGTTTAAGATGAGATCTGAGGCTGGAGGAGTCAGTCTTGCAAAGAAGACTATTCCAGGCACAGGGAACAGTATGGGCAAAGGCCAGAGGCAGGAAAGAGCTTGGCATATTTGAGAATAGGACTAGAAAGAATAGTGTGGCTTAAATATGATGAGCGACACAGAAGGAGAAACGATTTGCGCTTGAAGAGAACAGCAGGGCCCAGATCCTGCAGAGCCTCGTGCAGGGCATCCCAGTATAGTCGCAGAGGTTGTGCACTGCACAGAGGCTCGCAGCTGCCAAATCGTTGGGCCCGCGTGGCTGCCGTCAACCCACAGGAAGGGATGCGTTTTTGTAATTTGTCTGCCCAGAGGGACAACACATTATGGCTAGGCCATGATAAAGAGTTTGGATTTGATTTTTTTATTCCAGGGGAAACCATAATGGGTTTTAAGCGGAGGAGGGTTGTGACCCAATTTCCTTTTTGGAAAGATCACCCTAACTGCTGTGTGAAGGGGTGGTCCAGGGGTGAGAGACGAAGCAGGGAGCCATTCAGGAGGCAAGTGCGGTGGTGCAGGAGGGAGAGGCCTGCCTGGTGCCACTTAGACCTCTCAAAACCACCCCTTGTATGCTGATTACTGCCAGGGAGAAGCACTCGGGAGGCTCAAAACTCAGGTCCAACTCTGCCACCTACTTTCTGTGTGACCCTGGACAGGTCACTTGCCCCGGGTCACCTCAAAGAAGGTGGTGACCACCTCCTGAAGATGCTTTGAGCACACACTGTATTTATCGAGGCTCTATTATGCGCTAGCGTTGGGCAAGAAATAAAGCAGTGAGTAAGACAGGAGAGGTCCCTGAGTCCTGCTGTATGGAGTGTATATCCTAATGGGAAAGGGAGCCAGGCAAAACCCAAAACCCATCCGGGTCGAGACAGTTTCAGATGGGGATGAGAAGTATGATGGAAATAAAACAAGGCTCTATCAAAGCAGAGGGTGCGACAGTATTTTAGACCAGATGGGACAGCCTTGGGGAGGCCAAGCTGAGTACCAAAGGAGTCAGCTATGGACAGAGCAAGTGCAGAGACCCCAAGGGCAGGGCATCTGAAGTGTACCGTGGGCAAAGTGGCCAGAGCAGGGAGCGAGAGGGGAAGCAAGAAAACGAGGCAGGCAGGAGTCAGATATCCCTGCGTAAGAGCTGGAATCTTATTCTAGGAGTGATGGGAAGCTTTGAGGAGTTCTAGAGCAATGAGTGACCAGTGATTGGGCCTGTCTCAGGTTGGGTGGGTGATGGCTAAGGTCTCCTAAGCAGGAGACCCCAGACCCCTGGGAGAAAGGATGCCAAGCAGTTCTTTACACAAGGATAGTTCAGAAGTATAGAGGAGCCTTGACCCCACCAGTTGTGGTATTTGGGGAGGGAAGTTCTAGATACATTAAACACGAGACCCAAGTTCTGAAGGGGTGTGGGGCCTCTAGTTCAGGCCCGTACATGTAAGTTAAACTCTCCCTGTCTGTTTCCCTGGCTGCAAGCTCCGAGCAAATTAGATGTAAAATATAGTGTGTGTGTGTCTGTGTGCGCGCGCATGCGCGCGCACCGGGGGTCAGGGTGGTGGAGTCAGGGCTTGCCCGAGCCCAACCCTCCCCCTCGGGCAGTCACCACACTGACACAGATGCAAAAAACCGTCAATTTTATACAGTCTGTGGTTCAGAAGCAACAATATGCAAAACGGTGGAACAGTCTGTGCTGCCCCCATCCCCCCAAGACATGCCCATTCCTGTCCCCCAAGGGGCAGAGGACCCAGGACCCCTGCCGGGCAAGACCCCACTTAGTTACAGGCTCCTGGGAGGGGCCAAGCCCTTAGGAGTCAAGGCTGGGTGGGAGGGGGACCAGCGCTGGTTAACTGGAACTATGCCTGTGGGGGGATGGGGAAACGACTGGGCATAGGCCATTTCTCCCCAAGGCCAAGGGTGGGGAGCAAGTAAAGCTAAGGAGAGGGCTTCGTGGGGCAGGGTCCTCTCACCCGGAGAAGGGGTTTTCTTGGACACCCCACAAGGCACTACTGACCCAGATGTAGGATGGCACGCCCCATCTTTGGCCCCGGAACCTCTCCCAACCCCGAGCTCGCCTAGCTCTCCGTGCCCACCTCCCACTGTAGTTCTGGCGAGGAGTAAAGGGGCCCGGGGCTCGGGTTCATTCACCACTCTGCACAAGCCAGGAAGGCAGGCCAGCTGGGGCTGGCGAGGACCCTCCCCCGCCGCCTTGGGCTCCCGGAGTCTCCGCGGCCAGGCGCCCGCCCCCGCCCCCTTTTTGCACTGGCTGGAAAGAATAAATAAATAAATACCTTCCCCCGCCCGCCCCCGCCCCTACAGCTGGCTCTCCTCCTCCTCCAGGGAGCGGTTGAGTCCGGGGATGAACTTGAGCAGCCGCCGGCGGAAGCTGCGGTACTTGGTTTTGCGCGGCCGGGGCCGCACAGGGCCTGCTCGCGGGCCTCAGTCCAGAGAGCGCTCGGCGCGCCCACGCCGCCGCCGCCGCCGCCGCCGCCGCCGCCCCCGGGGCCCGCGCACCGCACGCTGGCGCTGCGGCTCAGCACCGCCCGGGGCCCTGGGGTCGGAGCGTCGGCGGGGCCCGGGCCGGGCGCGCGCGCGGGGGGCGGGGGCGGCGGGGGTTCAGGCGGTTCAGCACTCCCGAAGAAGCACGTGTGGTAGACGGCGTCGTCCGCGTCGCCCCCGTCCCGCCGCGCGCCGCCGCGGGAGCCCCCGGGGGCGGCCAGCAGAGGCCCAAAGGGCAGTGAGCCCGGGAGCAGGCCCGCACCGTACAGGCTGGAGCGCACGGACTCCAGCGTGTCATAGATGCTCGGGTCCTTCACCACGAGGCCTGCCGGGGCAGAAGACACGAGGGAGGGCCGTCAGAGGGCACGGGTAGGAGACCTCAGCTCCTTCCTGTTGACCATCTGTGTGGCCCTTGGGCAAGTCACAACCTTGAACCTCACTTCTCTTGTCTGTAAAACAGGAATTATACACTCAGATCCTTGTGAGGGTCACTTATGACACAAGAGCCACGGAAGGGGTCTGAAACAAACTCTTGGAGCCTTCCTGTTCCCATCTGTAAAATGGAGATGGTACTATCTTGTACTTTCCTTCAGGGAACAACTGTGAGAATAAACTAAAAATGTGTGTGCAGCAGCCTGGGGCAGCATCGTACCCAAAGTAGTAGCTCAACAAACCTTTCTTCACTTTGGAGGGGGAAGTAACCCACTAGTTCTGCGGGGGAAGCAGGAATGGGGGTATCAGTAGGGGTGCAAGTGGCCCTTCACACCCCTAATCTACTCACCGTGCACCAGCCGCTGCTCCTGCACCATTAGGGACCTGTATTCTCCCCACTTCTCATACAGGGTTTGCTGTAAGAGACACGCCCTGCCTCACTGTCAGGAGCTAGCAAGAAACTAGCAGGAGGTGGGTACAGACTGAGGGATCAGGGAGTACACAGAAGAAGCCTTAAGGTTAAAAGGAGGTTCAGGGCTTCCCTGGTGGCGCAGTGGTTAACAATCCGCCTGCCAGTGCAGGGGATGCGGGTTCCAGCCCTGGTCCGGGAAGATCCCACACGCCGCCGAGCAGCTAAGCCCGTGCGCCACAGCTACTGAGCCTGTGCTCTAGAGCCTGCGAGCCACAACTACTGAGCCCGTGTGCCACAGCTACCGACGCCTGCACGCCTAGAGCCCGTGCCCCGCAACAAGAGAAGCCAACGCGATGAGAAGCCCGCGCACGGCAATGAAGAGTAGCCCCCGCTCGCTGCAACTAGAAAAAGGCCGCATGCAGCAACGAAGACCCAACGCAGCCAAAAAAATAAATACATAAAATAAAATAAAAGGAGGTTCAAGCAGATAAATGACCCCTAAAAAAGAGTGGGGCCGGTAGGGGCAGGGGCTTGGGAAGAGGAGGGTGGCGACTGGACGGTATCTGGGCTGCTTTACCTTCAGGTACTGCAGACGAGCCTCCAGTTCCGCCTTCCGAATTGATGTCCCATACAGAGTTTCCAGTCTGAGGAGGTTGGGGAATCAAAGGCTAAGTGGGCCCACAGGGTGGGGAAACACTGAGAGAAGCTGAGCTCAGGAATCCCTCAGGGACCGCGGCACTTGGACGTACCTGAGAACGTTGCCAGACGCCTTAATGATGTCAACAATTTCCCGATGCCGGATGCCTTCCACGTTCAGGCCGTTGACACTAGCGATGGTGTCCCCTGCCAGGCAGAGAGGGGATCAGAATCTGCTCCACGGGCCATGTGGAAGAATTCCAGCCACCTTCGCCAGAAAGGGTAGGGGTAATGACCCCACAAAATTCTCCTGAACTCCCTACCCCCAGTCATGGTTCTGGGGAGATCGTGTCCAGGCCCGGCACCCCAGCATAGGGGCCAAGGCCCTCAGACACCCACATTCTCACCTCACTCTCAGGAAGCCCTGTCCTCAAAGGCTGAGCCCTCCTGGCAAGCCTGGGCTGCCCCCAGAGCTGGTTATTTTGGTCCAGCCCACAGGCTGTCATGACACCCAGCCGAGACAGGAAGGGGGCAGGGTGAGAAGCACCAAGCTGGGAACTAACACCGGCCCCAGGCATAAGAAGCCTCAGCTTCTGATACCCTGGGCCACTGCAGAGCCCCCTGACCTCAGGCAGAGCAAGGCACCATCTCTGAGGGCCCATTTCCCATCTGGAAAAGGGGGTGTGGACCCCTGCGGAGGCTACCATGGTGATTAGGAGGGAGGGTGGATGTGAAACTACTTTGCAAAGTTGAAATATACCACTTAGCTACCAGGGGCTGCTGGTAAATAGGCAGGGAGGTAAGGGCTTGGGGAAGGAAATGGTGGCAGGACTGGGTGGGGGTGAGTTGGCGCGGTCGCAAGCTGTCCCTTCCTGGGACTTGGGACTCTAGATTTGGCCAATCCGAAGGGTCTCCTACCGGTGGCACCATTTCCTTGTCAGAGGAAGTATCACAGGTACCCCAGTTTGGGGCCAGGTTGGGAGCAAGACAGACCCTGATCCTCGATATCAAGCAGATCTAATGGAGTGGTTCCACCCCACCTCCTGCCCATGCTGGACTGCCAGATCGCCAGGGGGAGGAAAAACAGCGGCAGCAACACCTGCCACCTACCAGGCCCTGGCTCTGTGCCCAGGGGATTCCCTCACCACGCTGACGTGAGGACATGTTATTGCCCCCAATGTGCAGATGGGACTGCTCAGCATCACACAGTAAATGGCAAATTTGCCTAAGTCCAACCCATTCTTCTTTCTGGCCTTCTCAAAATAGGAGGAGGAAGGGAAATTGTTTTCAGAAGAGATTTCTTACCCCCTCTGCTTGGGAGTAAGGTCATACCCCTCTTCCCAGAGCCCTGTGTCCCGGGTTCATGCCTCACCTGGTGTGAGCCCAGCCAGCTGGGCAGGGCTGGACTCATGAACCCGGCAGACAAAGGTCACCATCTCCACGCGCTGCTCCTCCCGGTGGTGAAGGCCATAAGTCTGTAATAAACAAGGGGACCCTCAGCCCAGGGGTGGGGCGAGATCCATCCAGCCCTCTGACCAGCCTCCCAAGCCGTCCCTCCCTCCGCACTCAGCTTCTCCCACCTGGATCTCAAAGCCGAAGGTCTGGTTCTCCTCCTTCTCCAAAGTTAGCACTTTCCTGCAGGAGACACAGGGGCCATCTCATCAAGACTGTCAGGATTAAAAGGAGCTTGCCAGTCCCATAGCATGGCCCCCCGCTAATGCTGGGAGTCTGCTCTGGTACATCCAGGCAGGGTTCACTGTCTCCAGTGACAAGTCACACTCATCACAGGTTGTTGGAATGTCCTTTTCCCATTCGCAGCTGAAATCAGCTTCACTGAGCCACACAGCGTCAATCCAGCCCCTGGTGGGGGAGGCACTGGAACGGCTGACCCCCAGAGCCGGTGGACTAGCTGAGTTTTTCAGCCACACTCCCAGCTTTCCAGTGAGCCCCAGAATACTACTTACTGACTTAGCTGAGGCCCCAAATTCGGCCACAGCCTGGAGCACCGTCCTCTGCAGAGCCCTGGGGAGAGGGCTGGCCCCACCCCCAGAGGCCAGTCATGAGGCTGAGCCCAGACCACAGCTGCTCCTCCCAGCTGCGGTGAGGCCAGCCCACCAGATGTGAGGGCTGGGGGGAGGGGAGCCTCGAGGCCGCCCCTTCCCGCACTGCAGGCCTGCCCACTGGACACAATGGTCTGGAGTAGCTCCAGATTCTCGTCTGCTGGGGGAGCCCAGAGTTTCCTCTGCCCACCCCCACACCCCCTTCCTTCCCGCCCGGCCAGAGGCAGAGTTAAAGCAGCCTGCAAAGGCCCCTTCAAGCCTCAGGGCCTCAGAAAGGCCCTGGAGATCCAGGCCTCTCAGTGCCCAACCTGACCCACATACCCCCCAAATGCTGAGCGTCAACTCCCCGCCCCAGCCTGAGCTCCTCCCTACTTTGAACGCAGGGCTTTCCCCCTCTACACGTATTGGGGCAGGAAGCAGGGTGACTTCTGTGTCTACTCCAGTGCTCTCTGGTTTTCTGGAAGGGTTGGCAAACTTTTTCTGCAAAGGGTCAGACAGTAAATATTTTAGCCTTTCTTTTCGAGACCTAAATTATTTGACAGCCTCCGTCCTATATTGTTCTTTGTTTTTATTTGTACGACCCTTTCGAAATATAAAAACAACTCTTGGCTCAAGGCCAGTCTGGCCGGCGGGCCATAGTCTGCCGATCCATTTTGGAAGAAGCCACGCCCAAATCAGGACGGGACATGGGCAGAGTGGGGCCTGAGTCAGCACCTACTTCTGCCCTCACCTCAGACCCTTCCTAAGAGGCCACCACAGGACGGGACCAGCAGAGGACTGAGGTTTTGGGTGCAGGGGCAGACAGACTGGAGCAGCTGGACGTAGCCTGGCCATGGTTTGGGCCCTCGGAGTTTGCTGGGCTGGGAGGGCTCAGGGTAGCCCCGAAGACTTCCTGCTTCCCTCCTCCCAGATCCAGATCTCTCCGGGGAGGGGGAACTGGCAGGGACTGGGGGTGGGTTGAGGAGCACCTGATGACTCAAAAGTCCCTATCTCCTTCCTCTGCCACCCCCTTCACACAGCCCACACCTCCACCTGCCCCTCATTCCTAGCAAGGGTGCTGTGCTGTGCTGAGAGGGTGGGAGAATGACTCCCCCCTGGCTGGGCTGAGATGCTGTGTCGTGCTGCCCCCAACCCAGCGCCTCACCCTTTTGGACCAGGGCAGGGGCTGCGGTAATGGTGACTCACCGCTGCTGTTCAGGACTCTGGCTGAGATTCTTCCAGCGCAGTCCCGAGCCCTGGGTGGGAAGGAGAGTCAGGAAGGAGCAGGTGAGAGGGAGCTGCCCTGGAGCAGATGGTGAGAGCCCTCCTTTGGGGGTTTCTCACCTGGGCTCCGGCCCTAGACCCGGCACCCCGCTTCCTGTTGCCTGTGTGTCCGGCCCCAGCTCCACACTTACTCTGGTGCCGGCGTAGATACCTGCAGAGTGCCACCATCAGCACCATTCCGCAGCTTTCTCCCTAAGCTCTACCCCCACAGCCGGGAGGACTGTGGGGGCACAACAGTCTCCCGGGTTCCAGATGCATGAACCTCTAAGCCCTGTGCTGGTTCCCAACCTGGAGGGTAGGGGGTTTCATTACTCTAGATAGAACAGTCTCCACCCCCAGGGCGCACGTCTGCGGCGGCTCAGGCCCCCTAGACCCCACAAGCTGAAGCAGGGGCTCTTCCCAGATGTTATTCAAGGAAGGGCAGGGGGCCCCTGGGCTTGCCTATCAAAACACTCCAGAGGCCCCTGGGCCGGTCAGGTCTCTCCTAATTTCTCATTCACACAGAGTGGCTCGGGGGAGCCGGGGTCAGAGGCCCAGGTCTGGAGGGCTGGACTCTCAGCCTGAACATGGAAAGGCAGGGGACAGAGGGGCCCAGCCTCCTCCCTCAAAGTAGACTGTTTCAGGGACCAACTATGGATTCCAGCTGCAGGTGGCCAACTGTGCCCAGCTCCACCTGGGTCTCTCAACATTGCCATATATTTTGTTGCTTTCTGGGACAAAAACAAACAAAAAAACAAAACCTTGGATCTCAAACTTGTCCATAAGTCTCACTATACTTAAGGAGAGACATTGGGAGGTTTTTTTTTTTTTTTTTGGCATGGCGGATGACAGAGCTGAGGGTCCCTACCTCTTTTGGGTCCTTGAGAAACTAAAGCAGTCTCTCTCCCTCCCTAAATTATTGATCCTTGGAAGAAGCCCAGTGCCAGACCAGCCCTTGTCCTGTGTGCCCCAAACAGCCCAGGGCCTTCCTGGTCCGTGCCCTTGTTAACCCTCCCCCCAGGCTGCCCCAAGGCCAGGAAGAGAAGGAAGCCCTCCTTCTCCAGAACCAAAGATTGGCCTCAGGGGTGGGGACAGTTCCCAAATGGGCCAGGGAGGAAGGACTGGGCCGCAGAGAGAGAGACCCCTTTGTCTTTCCACCCGATTTTCATAAAATGCAAATTCTCAACAAGCTGTTCATTGTGTTGGGGGGAGCCAGGGGCCAGGGGGAGAGGAGGGGAGCTGAGCTGGGAAAGGCCACCAGCCCCCTCTCCTTAACCTGGGTCTTGAGTTCCCCTTTCTGAGTGCTCGGGTCCCCCTCAGGCCAGAGGAAGAGCCCTGCGCAGGGGGAGACTCAAAGGGCGGGCGCGGCCCGCATCCTTCCTGCCCCGCAGGCGCCCTGCCACCCCTCCCACCGCGTCCGGTCGCGGCTGACTTCCAGGGAGCGGTGGCCTCGAGCCCCGCACCTCAGACGCAGGACAAGGCGGCAGGCCCCAGTCCAGGAATCCGGGCGTCCCCTTGGAAGGGTCGGCGGCGCCGCACGCACTTCCCCCGCTAGAAGGCACGCGGCGCGTCCGCCGCCCTCCCCACCTGGAACCCGCGGACTCTCAACTTGACTGGGCGAGCGGCGGGACCCCAGCCCGAGGCCTCCCCGCTCCCACGGGAGAAGCTCGGGCGAGGCGTCCTGGGGACCTCGAGACGTCTGGACGCGGGGAGGCGGGGCTCGGGGGTGGCCGAAGACCAGCTAGGGCGAGGGGAAGGGGACCTGGGGAGGCGGCAGGAAGGAGAGCAGCGAGACGGGGCGGGGGCGCATGGGGAGTGGAGATCCGCCAGGTCGGGGGCGGCGTAGAGCCGGGGTCGCGGGTATGGGGGATTGCTCCTTCTGAGCAGAGGGTCGAGGGGACCCAGCAGGATCTGAACGTGTCCGTGGGGGATCAGCGGGCTGGGGAGGAATGGGGGAACTCGGGGACCCCAGGAGAATGGTGTGGGGGTCGGCAGGCGCGAATGGGGGCTGCTGCGGGTTGCGCGGGTCCTGAGGAAGGGATCCCGGAGGGTACCGAGAGCCGGGCGGGGGGCCGCGGGAGTTGGGGGGGATACGCACCTTTCGGCGGGGCAGGGTACCCCCGGACACGGCGAGCGCGCGATACAGCTCGGCCGGGTGATAGTCCTCCAGCGCCGCGTACAGCTCGTCCCCGGGGGTCCCAGGGCAGGCGGCTGCGGCAGGGGGGCCCGAGGCCGGGGTCGGGGTCGGAGGGGCTGGAGCAGCTTCCGAGTCGGGGGCCGGGGCAGCGGGGTCTGGGGCGGCCGCCGCCTCCTCTTTCTGCTGCAGCTTCCTGAGTCGGCGGAGGGTCATGGCTCCGGCGCCCCTCGGAGGCGGCGCTCGCTCCGCGCGGCGGGGCAGGCGGCGACTCGGGGATGCCAGCCGGGAGGGTGGTGTGCCGCCTCCCTTTATAGGCTCGGGGATCGGGGCGGGCGGGGAGCGGCCTCGCGGGGCCTCGCCCCCCGCACGGCCGGCTCCGCCCCCTCCCCGGGGGGGGGGCCCCCAGCAGTCCCGGAGCCCCGCCCACAGCTCCCGAGGCATGCCAGGCTGGGGAAACTCTTGGGGACCGGAGTGCTCAATAGGGGGAAAAGCTAGCCTCAGAGGGGAGGGGGGTCCAGGGCATCGGGGGGCGGAGCATAGGTCTCCGTGATACCTGAGGGACGGGGAGCCTGTGAAGGGGCTTGTGCACGAGATTTGAAAATTTAGGGATGGATATCTTTGGAGATTCAAGCAGTCTGGCCGTGGAGCGACCGTAGGAGTCCTTAGGAGGAGGTTTGGAGGCCGCCCAGAGTAAGATTCTAGGAGACCCAAGAGGCTGCAGGAGACTTTAGGCAAGGAGAGGGAGGCAGGGGGAGGGGTGAGGTCCCTGATGGGAGGGAAGAGATGGCCCTGAACTAACTGTGCAGAAGCCGCTAGGGAGTGAAAGGGTCCAGGATTTCCCCCTTACCCAGCTGTCCCAGAAGAGTTCAAAGAGGCTGCCTCTCCTTCCCATGTCATGGGGAAAGGGAAGAGGGGGTAACCCAAAAAGTAGTAGACTTAATTCTGGCCTGTCCCCTCAGAAGGTCAGGAGTTGTTCCTCCTGGATAAACCTTTCCTCACCTCCTGATGTTGGAGCTCAGGTATCCTTTTCCCAGCCGATACATCCTTACTATGGGGGTTGACTCACAGCAGGGGATGTGACCGCGCTGAGTGGGTGCTCAGGGTTGGGGGATGGTGCTCAGCCATCATCTGACCTTTTTTGGGGAGCATCTTCCCCCCACCCCCGGCTGTGTTGCCGGTGGCTGCCAGGCCATGGGAGAGGTGGGAATGTCCCAGCTGTCGTCAGTGGTACCCGAATAAGAAGTGAGAGGAGGAAGTGGAAGGCCAGGTCTGGCATCTAAAGAGTGGCCAGCCACCGCAGGGCGTCAGCATCACAAGTTGGGGGCTCCACATCCCGACGTCTGCCACTGAACAGAAGCCAGGAATGTCCACATTGGCCCCTCCTCCAGTGTTCCCTTAACCGTTACGCCTTTACAGCTGACTGTGTAATCTTTTACATCTTCTACATCCATGAATGAATTCATTTGGTCTTTATAACAAACTCTATGAAAATAGATACCATTATCATCCCTTACAGAGGAGGAAACTGAGGCCCAGAGAGGTTAAGTAACTTGCTTTAGGTCACTCAGTGGCAGAGCTGATTCGAACCTGGGCAGCCTGGTTGCAGAGCTTGCAATCTAACCACTGTGTGATGCTGTCTTCCGCTGTTCTTCATTCACCCTATGTTGAAGCCCTGCTCCAGGCCAGGTTACAGAGGCTCTTGGTCAGGTAGGGAGTGATACACGCACCGGTGCTGTGTTAGATGCATGGCCTGCGGAGTACAGAGGGGCTAGTGGCCCATCAGCCTGGGGAGGCCAGGAAAGGCTTTCTGTCTCCTGTCTCTCTCAGTCCATGGGTCTGTCTCCGTCTTCTTGCTTCCTAGTCTCCTTGACTCCATCTGTGTCTTCCCCACCCCCAGGCCCCTGGGGCCTCAGCCCCTACAGGAGGTGTGTGGGGGGAGGGGGCGCTTCTTCACCCTGCAGTGATTACACAAGTCCAGATGGCAGGATGCTCGTTGTGTGGGGGGCAGGCGGTGGACTGGGGACTGCCACGAACCAAGTGCTAGCTCCCTTAGTGCCTTCCTCTCCCTCCTCCCACCTTCCCCCTTGGCATCACCAAGTGGCCATCAGCTGAGGGGCCGAGGGGGCGTTGGTGGGGAAACACGGGACTCTATTGTGAAGCATTAGCACAGATGGACCCCTGGACCGTCTGCTGCCTGCTCCTGACAGACGGCATCTGCAGCGGGGGTGGGGATGGGGAGGCGGGCAAAGGCAGCAGAGGCAATGGTTTCTATCCTCCTCGCTCTGTGCTTATTCATGCAGGGACCCTCAAAAGGGCATCTTGTAAGCTCTTCCATACCGCCACCCCACCTATCCCAGAGGCTTACCTAAGGGACACCTCCTCGCCTGAAACCTGGAGGAGCAGACACCACGGGTGTCACAGCACCTGTGTCTGCCAGCTCTGTTGAGACATTCCTCCTTCAGACTGACGTGGAGACAGAGACTGCCCATCAGTCTCCAGGCCAGTCCGCCTCCCGACATCCAAGTCAGACAACAGCACCAGAGAAGTGACGCTTACATCAGTTTCCGCCTCCTGCCAGGCAGGGCACCCTAGAGAACCCCAGAGTAAAGGTGGGCCCAGGAGATGCAATTTCTGTCACGTTCATTGCATGATTTCCTCAAAGCCTAGAGCTTCAGAGCCGGGAAGGGCCCCGTGGGCCGGAAAGGACACCAAGTGGTCCAAGTCCTTATTCAACGGAGGAGGCGAACTGAAGCCAACCAGGGAGGGAAAGACGGTGGCAGAACAGGCACTAGAACCCACTAGAGCCCAGGTCTCCTGACTCTGGAGACTATTTAACTCAGCTGCTGGCAGCTCCCGCTGAGAGCTCAGAGACCCGCGCCTGCTTCCTCCTCCCAATCTTCCCAGTTTCTCCAGGGAGGTGATGGAGAGCCCAAGATGCCACACTGTGGGGTGGTGGTGCCCTCTGGTGGCCATGAGTCTCGGAAAAATCTTCAAATCAGACTCCGAAGGGCTGCCTGGCTGGTGCTAGACCCCCTCCTGGAATCCCAGCCGGGTTTAAGGAGCCCCCAGAGCTCCTCTCTGGCCTGAGATGGTCTGTGTTCAGCTGAGACACCAAGCCCCGCTTCGGTCACTGAGTTCTGGAGTTTCACACCTGTTAGGAAGTTGTGTGTTTGTCACCCAGCAGCAGGTGACACTGCTCAGTGAGGGCAGACAGCTGGTGGGCTTCCTCCGTGCAGGAACCTGCACACGTCAGACAGTACACCAGGCCTAAAGCTTTGCTTTTTCCGACCCTCCACGACTTCCTCCTGAGCCCGAGTCTCTGGTCTAGCATCTGCTCTCCTCATCCCATCTTCTGCAGCTCTCTTAAGGCTGGTTGTGGCGGGGGGGGGGGGGGGGGGGGGGGGGGGGCGTCTGGGCCACCAGGGGGGAGTGCCTTTCCGTGCCCCCCCCGCCGGCTT